AAAAAAGCTCAGCTGAGAGTAAACCGATACCAGGATCCACCACCGTTGACATCAAACTAGTCGCATAGTGGTGAATCTCGATCTGATCCACAACGGCGGTGACTGCATGTGGTGGTGACGACCTGGGGCAGATTTTCGCCTGGCTGACCTCGGACCTCCGAGAAGCCACAATGGCTAAACCAGCAAAACTCCGAAAAATCCAGAAAAAAAAATGTGCTAGGACCCGTAAAACCAGTGAGGACGGGCTGTCGACGTATCCAAGTAGGTCAGAGCAAATGAAGCGCTGTTTAAAGCATAAAGCAACGTTGGACGAAATATTTCATTGTGGAAAATCCGATGTTTAGGATAACAGAAGTCGCCGTCTTTCTACTATTGGAAACTATGAACTGAGGGTTGTTCCATAAGCAAATACAGAACTGTTCGAGAAGTTGCAGAAAAACTCATTGTATGCATTCAGCTGTTTCCGCGCACCTAAAAAAAATTAGAAGATCAAATACTCTCGACAAATGGGTGCCGTAGGAGTTGACAATACTTCGCACCACCGCCACTATACGAGCTGAAAGAATTGGGCTACGAAACTCTGCATCATCTAGCATACTGGGCATATCTTTCGGGTTCCGATTACCACTTTTTCAAGGGTCTTCAACTCCATAACTTCATGCACGAGAGATGCCTCAGAAATAAAAACAAGTCGGATGTTTTCAGCAATACTCCATATGCTTCTTGTCTCCAGTGGAATCTAAATGTTTCACTTCGATCAATAAACGTTTGGTCTAAGTTGAGATATGCTTCATTTGAAAATACACAATTCATTTGAATTTGATTAGTAACCAACAATAATTTCTAGAGGGCCGAATGCATATCTGTAAACAAATTTACGCAAAAATACTCCTTAGTATTGTAACCGAACAAACCAATAGTTTTTAAACCGTTTTTATGCTAACCAGTTGAGCTGCTGGGGTTAGTAATTGAACTCACAATGTGTTACTGTTTAGTCGAATGTTTTCTTTTGCAAGGATCCGTCCATGCATCTGATGAGTCCGAAAAATTGAGCGTTCCCACTGTCACGCTTACAGTTCCTCTTTCTGCCATTGAAATGCTATGCCAGAGTGATCTCGACGAGCTCAGTTGTATCCCATGCGTCGTCATTATGAGCGTCTCTCAGCAGCAGTTGGGACTTAGGAAAGAAGAGGAACTGTAGCCGTCACAATAAAATGGTGGATACATTTTGCCTACAAACTCGAAATTCCTATCCTTGTCGAGTTGGACGTGGACATGGTTTCACCTTTCGGCTTCTCTGGGGTTCTCGAAAAATATTTATTTTTGGTTAATCGCCAGAAGTTAAGCATCTTTCATCAATCGATTGGTGGTTGGACGGTTTCCCTGACCGGGATCAATGAATGACAAAATCACCTCGCGTAGATAATTTCGTTGTATGCATGTAGAACGTCGATCCAAAGTCATCCAGTTTCAACTGGGATACAGAAGGGATATAATTGAAAGTGTGAGATCGCTAAGTCATAAAATCGCTTACATAGATACTTGGATGGCCCATCCTCACTGGTTGTATTGGCCAAGCATAATTTCCGTTCTTCCAGAGTTTTGGTCGTTTAGCTACTGTAGTTCCTTGAACACCCGAGGCCAGCCTAGGCAAGACCTGCCCCGGGTCGTCCACCAACGCAGACAGTAGCTGGCCTTTGTGGAACAGAGGGAGATTTGCCACTATGCGAGTTTTATACCGCGACGGTGGTGAATCCTGGTATTGGTTTATTCTTAGCTGGGCTTCCTAATAGAAATGCCGGACTCCTCATCTTGTGAGACTGTGTTGGTAAGATGGATCTCCCTGTTGTTGGTCGTAGCTCAACACGCAGGAGCATCACCAAACCACGATGACGAGGAAAACCGTTGAGAGGATTCGTAGAATTTCAATGAAAAAAAGAGAGATTGTCGGCGTCACAATGGGAAAGCTCAATTTTTCGAACTCATCCGTTGTATCGACGGGTCTTTCCAAAAGGAAACGTTCGTAGCAAACAATAAAGTGATGCGAGCTCTATTATTAACAATTCCATGCTCAAATGCTCAACATTAAAATGCGGCGTAAAAGTTTTCAGTTGAATGAGTGGAAATGGACATTGCATTTGTGTGCTAGTGGGTTTGAGTTATGGCTGAATGTCTACGGAATAATCTAATAAATATTCATTAAAATGTTTGCTTTTATACGGCCCGTCTTCAACCTTCGGTGCGAATCCAAGCACTCGCATTTGATTCGCTACCCTGCATCTATCAGCCACAAAGGTCTTCGAACTTTTCGTGCGTCGGTTCGGTTGCTGCTGCGGATTTTCGTCTTCTTTGCAAGTGTCGTCGAATGCTGGTCGAGGCGATTCTGCTTAGACTTCTGCGATAGCAGAGCTAAGCATTCCTACCTAGATTACAGAAAGTCAACTGTTCACAGAGAAGTTTGGTGCCAATTTCCCGACTACGGACGGATGAGGGGCTTGATATGAGGCCGGAGTGGATTCAAACCAGCATCGTGTCAGTGATGAACGGAATCAACAACACTGGTGGCTACCCATGCTTTTGAAATACTTTCATACTTTTAAACGAATTCCTTACGTTTCTGATAACAGTCAAAATAGGGTCGATAATGCACCAAGAAAATCTAGGGCCACCGTGATTGGGGGCATAACAATGCCTGAGAATGCGCGCTCGCTATTAGAATTGGGCCCAAGTTTTGCACCGTCACAGCCTATTTCTAAAACGACCCTGCGTAGGATAGCATGCAACCTTTATGAGCTTTTTAGACAGCAGGACCCTAACGATGGAGTTGACATAAAATTCCGCGTGTTTTCGGACGGTGTTCTCAAGACCCTTGATCACTACCGCGATAGAAAGTTTATCTCTAACCTTACAGCAGCACAAAAATGTGGCATGCGAGAAATTAGAGAATTAATAAACTCGAAAACAATAAAATTGTCAGTTAGTGATAAGGGGGGAGAGTTCGTAGTTATCCCTCGCCAGCTGGATGTTGAGATAACAAAGGAACATCTTAGTGATGCTACTCTCTATCGCCCATCCTTTGAAAAGGAATATAAAAGTCAATACCGAAAGCTAAACAATCATTGGGTCAGCGTGGCAAAGACTGCAGGTTTAAAATCATCGGTTATTTCGCACTTTAAAATCGATAGACCAACAAGTCTCGTCCTATAGCTACTTATTAAAACACATAAGTTGGTATCACCTGATGGTAATGCGTCAACCAATCCGTCATCATTTAAGGTTAGACCGATCATCAGCTGTGTAGACGGGCCAACGGATAGAATAACCTGGTTTTTAAGCCTGATACTTACCCAGTTGCTTAACCACATTCCAGCTCACCTCACAAACACCCAAATGTTCCTAGAACGTCTACGTAACGCGTCTCCTAATAACGCGTACGTGATGGAGTTTTTCGACCTTACCGCACTGTATACCAACGTGTCGAATGACTCCGCAATGCAAGCCATCTTCGAACTTCTTGTTGAACATGAAGAAAGAATAAATATGCATGGCTTGTCCATCATTCAGCTAATGGTTGTCTTAAAGGAGTGCCTAACCTGCTCGATTTTGAGATGGTCTGGAAAATATTTCGCGCAAATAAGGGGGTTGGCAATGGAACAGCGACTGGCACCAAGCCTTGCCATTGTGTTTATGTCTAAAATAGAAGCCCCTGCTCTCGACCTCCGGCCACTACTCTACTGCAGATATGTAGATGATTGTTTTGTCGTCTTCTCTACGCAGGAGGAGATGGACAAATACTTTGAATTATTGAACGAGCAGTCTGAGTACATAAAGTTCACCCGGGAGAAACCGAGAAAAAACAGGCTTCCGTTTTTGGACGTTCAAACCTATCAAGTAGCGGTTACCTGACAAAGTGGTACCGAAAGCCAAGTAATAAGAACATTCTTGTTTATTTCCTTTCTTCCCACCCTTCACACACAAAGAGGGCGATTGTGAGAAACATGTTTCGAACAGCCACCTCTGTGTGCACTACCAGGGAACTAAAGGAAGAATCGCGCGACTTGGCTCGGCAAACAGCCACCTCCAATGGCTACGAAATAGTAACCCCACGAGATAAGTTTACAAGGAGAACGACGCCCCCACGCGAAGCACTTGGCCAAAAAAGTTTCGTTTATGTTGCCTTTTATTAGCGATGAAGTAGACGTAGCTATTCAACGATGCTTAAGCAGGGCAAGTCTAGAGGAATCAGTAGCGATCGTTGAAATACCACCCGATTTTCTTCGTCGTCAATTAGTTTGTAACCGCCGGTACGACCGTCTGTGTAAAACAACAAATTGCGTAATTTGCCCTTACGGCAGGGACGGTGATTGCATGAGTTCAGGTACGATACCTGTATACCTGATCTCTTGTAACAATTGCGGAGATGAATATATTAGCGAAAGGGGCAGACCTTTGTGTATCCGTATAAAAAGAACAGCTAGATGGCAAACGAAAACTAAGACGAAGTACCCCACTAGGCACGCATAGGACACAAAAGCATAACGGAGACGATTTTGAAGTAAAAGTCAATACAAAAACTTCTTGAGGCTTTTTCGATAAATGCCAAAAACCCTACAATGAATAGCAGTGATAAAGACCCAGAGGTCATACGCGACCTGACCCCGTATGTTCGCATCAATTTCTGATGTGGGATGGTGCAGTCGTCAACCACATGCGACTATAATCAGCTGTTCTAAACTTCCTCATTGGAAGTCACGAAAAAGCGGTGAGTTTTTCGAGAAGTTGTTGATCATGTAATTAAAGAGTTTTTCATCTTTTTGTAAGTGTTATTGAAGCGTTTGGCCTAGTAGATTGTATATCAGTATACCCTTCCAGGCTCTGAAGAAGGCGATACTGCCGAAACGTCAGCTAGCGTTGTATTGTATTGTGTTTCTCTATGGAAGTAAATGTATGCTGTTTAAAAATCTCGCGACTGCTAAACAAGAAAACGACGCATTCATACTTTAATAAAACAACATTGCCCATGTAAAATTTGCAGTGGCAAATCTACCTACCTGCGGGCCAACACAAATGAGAAGCATGAAAACCACAGCAAAAAGCATCGCGTTAGGATTTAAGCGGTGTGGTGACGATTCCTGAACTTCGCGAAAAATTCTCTAAAATTCATCAGGAATTAAATCAACATTATTCAGACTTACACGTACAAGTTTACCGTCCGCAAGTCCGATAGATTCTTCCTTTTTTCTGGCATCTTCGGCCACCACTCGTCGAAGAGTGGCGATTATCACGCAGTTCATCACCAGCAAAGCGATGATTGGGAGCACATTGAAGGCGAATAGAGAGATGTAGTCCATAAGACGATAGTAGAACTAAACAATAGAAAGAGTAAACTTGCAAAATAACAAAAAACTTTATACCCTAGACGTATTTCAGCGAAATATTTAATAAACCGGGAAGCACTTATACATCTATGAAATGTGGCCTAAAAAGGGTCGGTCTACAGATTTTCGTAGCACTAATTGACATCGAACACTCTACGTCGTTGGTGTGTTCGCAGCCAGTTGTATAACCATCTGTGTACAACACAAAATTGCATACTATGCCTTAACGGTACAGACGGTGACCACATGAGCTTGGATACGGTTTATCCGATCTCTTGCAAAGCATGTGGAGACGAAAACATTGGCGAAACGGATAGAACATGGCGCATCCCTATAGAAAAAACCTAATCGGTAAACTTAAGGTTAAACAAGACAACTCACTAGACAGGCATAGAGTAAGAGACATAACGGAGAAGATTTTTTTAGTAGGACTCATCATCTTCGTGCAGTATTTTGAAACTTTAGCACGTAAAATCTACCTAGCGCCTTGGATACATTCCAAAAGTCCGAAAATGAGTTGCAGAGAGGAGTATCTTGTGATAACGCGCGACCTCAGACAATAATTATAATGAAGGATAAAGCTCTGGGCGTTGATCAATGCCTTAGGGAGGCGTCATGCAGTCAACTTTATTAAACACCGTTTCGAGGTGACTGATTGCAAATCTGGCCCTTACAACGACTCGCGGTGGCCTGCCGATGTATCCAGCCAGTGCTGCCATCCTCCCAGACAAGTCTGGTACCAATTTACCGAACCCGGAGGAATGGAAGGCTTGGTTGGCCATAGGAGTGGGAATCGATCCCATGTGTATTGCAGAGCGACCTCAGAGAATATTTCACTTAAATTTTAATGTGAGAGAGGCGCATTACGCATACATGTGAACTCTGTATGATTGCTTCCCACGTGGGATACTCAGTGGAAGACTTAGAAAAAACGGTGAATGTGTGAGGGAGCTGTTTTGACCCAAGTCCCATTGAAATTTAGATTTTGCGGCCTATCTGTTGAGTTTATGGGGGTATTCAGCTAAGGAGATTGCAGCCAGCTTGACCTCTCTATTCTCTGAAAAAAGCGAAATCAGTTGAAACGTCAGCTTACTTGATACTTGATATTTGAACAGCTCGTCTTCACTGGTTGTGCGATCCCCGGCATAATTTCCATTTTTTCCGAGTTTTACTTGTTTAGCCATTGTGTTTCTCTGGAGTCCTGAGATCAGCCTGGCCAAAGTCTGCCCCACGTCATCACCACTATAGGCTGTCGCCGCCCTTGTGGATCAGAGGAAGATTTGCCACCATGTGACTAGTTTGATATTAAGGCGGTGGTGGATCCTGGCATTGGTATTGCTTTGTTCTTAGCTGGGCTTCCTATCGGGAACGCCGGACTCTTTTTCAGTATGGGATACCCTACCAGGAAAATGAATCTCTTCGCTGTACATCGAAGTCCGACACCCAGGAACACCTCCACAATAAGACAGTAAACCGTTGGAAGGAAGAAACGTCAGCTACTTTAAATAAATAGTAAAATAACAGCCTCGTGTGTGCTCATCAAGAAAACGGCAAATTGTTAAGAATCTAATATTCTACAAATTTAAAAGTCAACAAAAAGCAACCAATTTCTCATATACGGGTCGTTGCTATTCACCCCAGCAGTTTGTTTTCGGTGTTTAACAAAACTGTTACGATATTTTCCGCCTGAAAATGTCAGATTCCAATGCCACTCGGAAGATGCTTCATCGCAATGCGGCAGATCTTACTCAGATGTGCAAAATTGGAGAACTGCTGTGATAACGAATTTGGAAAGCACTAACTGGCGTCTGTTTTTAGCACGGCCCTATGGAAAAGTTGTAATAAAACCCTAACATACTGTTAAGCCGAATATCATAATGAGACCCGCTTCCTAGTTGTTCGTTAGGCAAGTTTAATCCGACTACCAATTAGGCTTGAACATTCCCTGTGGCACGACTTTCTGGCGCCACAATTAGATCCCTCTCTCTCAATTTTTCTTATCATGCCTTATTTCTCTTAATAAATATCGCGCCTTTCAAGGTCTGCACAGCTTTTAAATTTAGCCTCAATATGATATCAGTCGTACAAAGGCAGCCAATCATCTAAAAGCTTCCGGTTACGAATGAGACAATTCTAATACTTAAACAAAAAATGACTGCAGAATGCGCAGAAAGCGTGGTTGTCAGAGATGCTTCGGATAATACAAGCATCGGTGATCGTTGGACACCGCTGTAGACCAACCAGGCCTCTAATTCCTTTCATCATCCACAGTCGGCAAGATAGATTTTTTTGGAAAAACCTTCCTGGAATCCACAAAAATAAGCAACCGTCTGTGGTGATGAGATATGAACGCCTTAGGATGGTTATCCCAAGATTTTATGAGGACCGTATTCGATAACACTCAGGGAGAAGACTAAATTCCTCAAGTAGAAGATGAATTGATACGCGAATCCGAAGATCTTCGTGAATAAAACTTATGAAACAACAAATCCAACTGAAGAAGTATAGGGACCAATATCTAGGCCGGGTCATATGAAAGAATAAATATCCCACAATGTAGACGATTTAGTTCTATATTTGAGCTCTTTCTACATAAGGGTTTGACGCTGCGCTCTGACTTTACCAGTAACCACTAGCCATTCCCTTCTGCTTTGTTGACTTCGATTACATTCAACTGTTTCCACGAATGCGCGCCTATCGTAATATCCGATATATGTGTACAACTTGAACCATTACGTCTACAGAGATTCTCAAAACGCTGACACAAGTTTGCACAGATCGCATGACCATTGGAAGCTCAAGAAATCGCTGTGAAAAAAAGACAAGCATTTAAGATAAAAACAAACACCGTTGAAACAAAACGTGGTAAGAGGGCTTCAATATGGATATCGATTGATGGGAGGGCCATGGGACAGAATCCTTAGTTAAGAATTGTGGCTGTAAGTTTTTCTTTACTAGTGCAAACAACATTTTGCCTACTATCCATCAGCGGAAAATAAAAGCTAAAAAGTTCCACATTGTTTTAATAATTTCACCAGAGCACTGGTGGATATGACACCTGCCACAGTAGTAAAATGTCCCAAAATTAGTGATCAAATCAATAACTCTCAGCGTTATTTTAATGATTAATATACTTGGGTACTTGAACGGCCCGTCATCACTAATTGTGCGGGCCCTAGCATAATCTTCATTTCTCGGAGTTTTGGTAGTTTAACCACTATGGTTCGCTGGAGTTCCGAGGTCGGCATGGCCAAAGTCTGCCTCATGTCTCGGAATCACCGCCCTTGTGGATCAAATGGACAGTTGCCACCATGCGACAATCACTAATATAGAGCTATGGAACGACTTGAATATGTTGAATTTATAATTATCTTACCCTTATTGTTTCACTTTCGGACATCAAGATCACATAGTAGAAATCCATGCTCAAATCCTCGTAGCAGTGTCGAACTTCGTAAGCAATCGGCCATTGTATCGAACACAAAAACGAGACAACAAGACTGAAATCACACTAAAACAGAACATAAATAATAAATTGAGGACTGATTCTTCTGGCATGCGCGACTTATGGGACGCAATTAAACGAGATCAATATGTCATTCATGTGATATACATAACCCATGAGACACATTCGAACTAGGTCAGTCTGCCAACCAATAAATCACCAAAGATATGTAACATGCGTGACTTATGGGACATTAAATACACTCGTTTATTTTCTGTAACGCACACTTCAGTGATTGATATCAGGCCGATGAGGTAAAGAAAAAACTCTTTCTACGAGACATTCAAGATGTGGTATGTAAGATTGAATCAGATTGTCGAAGAACCCTTTGATGACACCGCGGTTTCCTTCATTTCTCTACGTAGTTTTCATAAGTGAAATACGATGTATGGTTATCGATTATCGTAGATCACAAGAGCAATGCTTCTTTACCCACCAGGCTATGATGGCATATCTTGATGTACGCCCAGTGCAAATGCGATGACAGTTGAATGGATGCAACACGCAGATGTAACGCTCGACGTTGAACGCGACAACAATCCTGGATTATTGTCAAATTATATAATTGTCCATACAGCCTTTTATTCCTAATGAAGTAATGCTTTCAGCATAATGGTTAAAGTTGCCCTGAGATGCACATACGATCGTTGGTTCGATCATGTCTCCGGTGTAAAGAAATTTTCCATCTCTTCAAGTTCGGAAAATAGATATCGGACCTCTCTATACCGATTTGATTGCATTTGTAGGTTCCATAAGTAGCAGTATAGTTCAAATGAGCATTCGACCACCTACTCACATAAAGTGAAAGTCACAGTGGTTCGACTGTTTACGGCACTTTCGTCTAACAGAGCTCGTTTCACTCATAATGCTTAAGATAAACTTACAGCACACTACATTTGTAGAAGGTGGATGCCAACGTTCTAATGTAGAGTGTAATATGGGAGTAGATGAAATTGAAGACAGGCGAAAACACTAGTGATGAGATTGATGTCGGTGTTACGTCAAGAGTTGCAAACACCAAAAACAGACAGTCACAAATCGCCAACGCCAATAGTAAAGCCCTGAAAATATGGCAGTAGGAAAAAAATGTGTAAAGTTTGAAAAATGGTCTATGAATATGACTGGAGGTGTATGGGTAAGAAAATATGAAGGGAAATAATATGACCAGGAAGAAAACATGAACTCTCTGGAATTTCAGAGCACTAAATCAGCCTCTTCAGCTCTTACTGGACTGTCCCACCAAACCAATATAAAGATTGTGCGGTAAAAATGATGAAACTCTCGGTGTTGATCAATCCCTGAGGGATGCGTCGTGCATTCGACTTCACTAAGCATCGTTGGAGGTGACTGAATGCATATCTAGCGTTTACAATGACTCGCGGTGCCCTGCCCATGTATTGAGCCAGTGCTGTTATTCTCCAGACAAGTCTGGTACCAATTTGCCGACATCGGAGGGATGGAAGGCTTGGTGAGCCACGGACGCGGGAACCGATCCCACGTGTGTGTTGCAGGGCGCCTCCGACCACTGTGCAACACGTGACCAAAGATTATGCGGTATTCAAAATAATTTTTGCACTTAAACTTTATGACAAGCAGATAACATATACAGGTATCAATAAATTACGGACTGCCAATCAAATAACATCTTAGCTTTTTAATATTACTTCATATGTGTCTTAAAAATTTCGCATGGTCAAAAGCAAAGAGCTAGTGCTTGAGGTGTAGCTATTAGTGGAAAATGCTGTGTCTCAAGTTGCTCTTTACCAACCAAATAATACTATTTAAATGTTGACTTTTCATTTACTACCTATCGCAATTTTCCATGGTAGGGTATTATGTATGATACAACCACAATGATGTTGAAATATTTGGCAAACTCCGGACTGAAGGTGTCTGCGGTGAGGAACGAACGCGCTATCACTTTTTCCGGAGGCTAACGCGTAACGCAGGGCACGCGTGGTGCATGGTCGCAGGTGCCCTGCAACGCACACGTGGAATTGATCCCCTGCCTCCATGGCCCACCAAGCCTTCCATCCCTTCGGGGTCGACAAATTGGTACCAAACTTGTCTGGGATGATAGTAGCACTTGCTCGGTAGATCGGAACGCCACCGCGAGTCATTGTAAAGGCCAGATATGCACTCAATCACCTCCAACGATTCCTAATGAAGTCGAATGCATGGCGCTTCCCTCAAAAATTGATCAACGCCGAGAGCTTTATCTTTTACCCTTTAACGTGTAACGCGGGCCTAACGGAGTTTTGCAAATATCTCAGTAACATTGTGGTCGAAATATTTAGTTTCAAAATAAAGCTCTGAAATTCAAAAGTACCAGCTGGGTATCCGCTGAGCTCCTTTGTTGCTCGTTAAGATGGCGATATTGAGTAGATTGCAAGCTAATCCGATCAGTGCAATCACAGGTAAGCAGACAACGTTCGACCACCATACAATATCGATCGACTCCTTAAATATTAGAACTATTCGATCGATAGATGTGGTGATAAAGACACGTAACCGGCTTGACAGCTTGTGTTGCTACTGAAAACCTTCGTCAAAAATTTAATCCAAGCGGCCAATCAACAACATTACAGTCGATTTGATTTACGAACTCAAGTATACATCATGTGAAAGTTCCATTGACACATGCTCCCCACGTTTTTTTTTATAAAAAAAATTTAACCACAACGTTGCTGAGATATTTGCAAAACTCTGGACCGCAGGTGTCTATGGTGGGGAACGAACGCGCTATTATCCTTTCCGGGAGTAACGTGTTCACCACCACACCATGCGGGTCCTTTGTTTCGCACGACTCTCAGCTATTTCTATCGATCTTTTGGCCACAGCAATCACCCGTCAGCGGGGTTGATCTGGGGAGCGCAAATCGGCATAGAACCCAGTTAAGCTATGGCTGTTGTTGAAATCACAATGTTTAACGTTTTCTTTTCTGCCTTCTATAATTTTCATGGCAGGTTACTAAGCGAAATACAACCACAACGTTGCTGAGATATTTGCAAAACTCTGGACCGCAGGTGTCTATGGTGGAGAACGAACGCGCTATTGTCCTTTCCGGGAAGTAACGCGTTCACCACCACACCATGCGGGTCCTTTGTTTCGCACGACTCTCAGCTATTTCTATCGATCTTTTGGCTACAGCAATCACCAAAAAAAATTTACTTTACCACTGCTTCCGGTCGCAGCATCGATGCTCTGGGAGCTGGACACACTATGTTCTTAGGGGTTGCGTAGGAATACGCTGCCATGATTGAAGCTTCAGCCTGATGACTCGAACTAAGAACAAGTTCGACATCCACGTCGGCAAACGCCAACCCAATCAGTTCTAAGAATCGTTGCATTATAAAGCACCAGCCATGAAGAAAATTTCCTTTTGAAAACTACCACTGACCAACACCTGAGGTCAACTAGACCATCACCATCCGAGCAATCACATGGTACTAAATTCGTTTAAGATGGAAAGCAGCGAATACTCTGTGGATAGCCAGCCACTAGTCATTTCTCAAAGCAGAAAATTCGCATTCTTCTACCCTCATCTTTGATCTGAGAGCGGAACACATGCGTAAATCAAAATAGCAGAGCATCTCTTCTCATAATACTGAGAAATGCTGACAATATTCCAGAATGCACAAGTCATATAAGGCAAAGGGTGCGTTCTAATGGGAACACGAGCTGGACAACGGCCATCAACGACTGGGGAATCCGGTGGAAACTGAGGAGCAGAACAACAAAAAACTGCCAAAACAGCTATTAGGCTTAAGGACTCTAAATGAAGAATATAACACGTTATTGGTGTTATTTAAAAAAAGAAGCCAAATTCGCAGCTGAGACACTCTACACAGACCAATAAAAAGATTGTTGGTACCAGCTGGGGCAACCGAATGATTAACAGAAAGTCCGAAGATACAGATGTCTCAGTTCACCTGTGTAGAAGAGAACGTTATCTTTCCGACCGTAAAATTGGAGCGAACAGCAGTGGTTCACGTTTCCGTCCAACGTTAGCTAAGCCATCAACTTTTACTTTATCGGTTTCAACAACGATCGGATAGTAAATCAGCACGGTCCGATTTTCTTTATCAACTATTTCACATGATTTAGCGGCAAAGTGTGAAGTCGTGCACCCCATGATGTTCGCGGCGATGCCAAGAGGTCGGAGGCGATTTTGATATAAAAGTTACTATCCTAGCACAGGATGCAAAAGCACCAGCATGCAAACCTCTAGAAGTTTTTTGGATAAATAACAGGAACCCTAGAATGAACATCAGGGATGAACGCTCGTAGATCACACGTAATCCGGCCCCATACCTTCGCATCGAGTTCTGTTGTGGGGTGGTGCATTCATCGACCATATGCGACTCTGATCAGCTGTTCTTCCTCAGTGTAAGGCGCCTAATAGACGGTGAGTTTTTCGAGAAGCTGTTGATCGTGTGATTGCGATCTAGATTTTCATCTTTCTGTATGTGTTATCGGAGCGTTTGACTTAGCAAATTGCCTTTCAATATACCCTTCCAGGCTCTGAAGAAAACGAAATCCGCCGAATCGTCAGCTTTAACGGAATAAAGAATAAGGCAACACCTCATGTTTGCTCAACAAGAATATCGAGAACTATTTGATCAATTCCGAGGCTAATAGAAAGACGGCCGTGGGATAGCAAGAACGTTGCAAACCATCATTCTCACGAACAAGAACTACAGGCAGAAGCAAGCGGTTAGTGCAATGGAAACGGCGGCACTGATTTAGAAAAGTGTCAAAGCGAATAACGCTATAGGATGAAATCTGATTCTTCACTTCATTGTGGAATTTCGAGAACATTCGAGCTATCAGTAGGAGAAAACGTCACGACCGCTGATAGCAAGGTTGCCGAAATCTCCCGTGCAACGAACAGCGAACGGTTCTTGTTGTCATCGTATCGTCGACGGCTTTGTTGTTCATAACATAACCTTCAATCATATTTTCGGCCAGAAAACAACAAAAACATTAGCACCGCGAGAACAGCAGTGCATAAGAATCGCATTCAAACGATAGCGAAGAACACTGAACAGATTAGTTTTCCTTTGCTTTTTCTCGAGCTCTCCATGTCCGGGAACTCTTATGAGAATATGGATGGTAATCTTAACTCTTTTATTTACTGCCTTTTTCTTCTTAATGGCAGGTTATGTTGCGAAATATAACTCGTATGAAATGCTGAGATATTTGCAAAACTCCGGACCACAGGTGTATGTAGTGGTGACCCGGATGGTGTAGTGGTGAAGTGCGCTGCTCCCCGGTAAGGACAACAGCGCGTGTTCGTTCTCCACTGCATACACCTGTGGTCCGGAGTTTTGCAAATATCTCAGCATTTCATATGGATGGTAATATTAATGTAAAGTAAAAAGGAGGAAGTCCTTTTCCTCTTCTTTTCTCTTTTTTTTAACCTTTGCCAGTAAGACTATTCGTAGTCATTGTCATTTGCTGCTACACATTTTTTAGTCTTCGCTAGTGAAATCTGCGATTTTTACACTTAAGCCCCCATGTATTATACTTATTACTCCATGTATTACCCGTCTCATTAAATATTTTATTTTGATTCTTATCAAATCATCTACAGTAGTCCGAATAATAATCGAACCTGATCGTGCGTATTTAAGGAGCTTCTATCCGTAATATTAGAAAAATTGCAGCTGGAACGTACGAGAACGAATTCTTCGCCTTGTGAAGCACCTTCGACCGCTATGTATTCCTCCATTGTCTATAAAAATTCCGTTGAGAAATTCATTAGCAAGAGCGGAAACGAATAATTCAACTAAATATCGATTTTCTGAGAGGATTACGAAGACGAAAACTGAAGGAACCAATAGTTGAGACAGTAATATAAGCACAGTGGAACTCAAAGAAATGACAGTTGAGAAGGCAGATGTGGGCGGAGTCAAGGTGTTAATGACATACCGGCGGGGTCAAATATCGTTGGGGTCACCACGAGGCAGACATTGCATGGAAATAAGATGAGATCGAGTGAGTTAAATTTGAAGAAGAAGATGGATGTCAACAGAAATCATGAGAGAAGTTGAAAAACGACTTCTTAAACGTTCCGAATTTTAGATGTTTTTGTAATTTTTCAAAAAGAAAACCGGGGGAATGAGTGTAATTGCGCGAAATATAGAGAGAAATGAGAAGTAAAGATGTCATATAAACGTTTTGGTAGCCTGGGGAATCATAGTTTATCAATACTTCAAATGAGACTGTGATATTTCAATATATGTACTAGCTGATAACGATACCGACTTCTACAGGATGGACTGTCCAGCAAAAACAAGTGGTTATCACTGGACAATCAGGGTTATCGATAAGAACCATTTCATATAAAAGGGCATCGTCGAATAAGTATTGCTTATTCGAGAGAGACTCTCCGCCGAGGAAGAGCCGTCTCGATGCGCGGCGAAGACGCCACGTCGAGAACACGAACAACTGAACCATCGACTGGGATTATCGGCTTTGTTGATGAAGACGAAGATGTCGAAGCGTCAGCCGAGAATAAAGAATTCTTATCAATGTCGTTGAAGCTTATCAAAAAAGGAATACATAAAACTGTAATCATTTAAAACGTAATAGAAAAAAAGCCGTCGGCGTTGATCAATCTCTGAGGAATACGCCATTCGACTTCACTAAACATCGTTTGGAGGTGATTGGTTGTATATTTGACCTTTACAATAACTCGCCGTAGCCTACCAATGTATCGAGCCAGTGCTGCTATTCTCCAAAATGAGTCTGGTACCAAATTGTCGACCTCGGAAGGATGGGAAGCTTGGTGGGCCATGGGCGCGGGGATCAATCCCACGTGTGTGTTGCAGGGCGCGTCTGATCACTGGGTTCCATTTAAAATGTAGTTTAACATCTAATTCATTCAAATTCAAATTCATTAAAACCAATGTCTTTTCAGCTATTCTAAACACCTAGTGGTACTCCACTACAACTGTTTTTTGTATTTTTTGTATCACACGTTCATATTAGAACTCTTATCGATTACGAGAACGATAAAATGGTAACGAAAGAAGTGCAGCTGGCTATATTTACATGCTTATGCCAATAATTAAACACTAGGGGTGAATTATGGCAAAGGCATTTTTAATGACTAAACACCAATAAACGTATGAAACATTTGAAAAGGCTTTTCTTCTGTTTGGCTTTCTGTACTACCAAAAGGTTAGCGAGATGTTCAGGCTTGGAATTGTCTGGACACCGCTTAATGTGCTGCTGCTCTTGACCGAGTAGAGACCGTGTCGGACTTGGAAAGGGAGATCGGTGACGGCATATCTTTTCTTCCAAACCACTGTGGAGTCCTAGATGATGTCCACCTTCTTTTTTTTTTCTTAAAGCAGTGACTACTTCACCCCAGTTTTGAAGAATTGCTTCGGTCTTACAGTAGGCGAGTTTGCAGAGTCCATCAGGAATTCTGCTTTCATTCTCTACATTGTCGGTCAATACTGCTACTTCTTTCTTTTTAAGATTATTTTCAACCACTTTTTTGCAAGAATTTGTAAATTTTGACGTTAGTTGGTGGTATTCTGAAGCTCCAACGACTTCATGATAGCGTACAAGTCTGCGCCTATGAACACGGATAACGTTTCTTGATAAACTCCCTTAGTTATAAACAAAATGTGAAGATGTTAGAGAAGCCTGTTACAATTCCATCAAATATTACCATTTCTAATGTATTATAAAATATTTTTTCCAAAAACTAGACTAAAAAATCCTTCTTTAAGCGCAGCGGTGAGTGATGCAGTCCATCAGGAGGCTATATGCTGGTTCGACCTCTTTTCCAACGTTC